AAGAACCAGCCTCCAAGAAGCAAGTGACCAGAGAGTTACAGATAGGCAGGCAAATTCAGTTGGGTGGCTTTGGTCTGAAGCAGCAGAACAGTGTTTGGGTCCTGTGGCACCTTTAAGACCAACGAAGTTTTATTCAAACTGTAAGCTTCTTCAAACACTAAGCATCTTCCTGTGTACTCTACTGTCACTGAACCCTTTGATGTGTAGATCGCTACTCTTAGGGAAAACATCTTCCTTCCATCTCCTCTCTCCCTCCCAGCACGTACACAAAAGAGAACACATTTTCTCCGTCTCTGTTCATATTAAAGTTGTGTTAAGCTCTTTGCCTTTCTGGTAGCCTGCCTATCTGGTGGATCTGTGAACCCATGGTGCCAGAAGTGGAGATTAAAGTGAAGACCATTTGCTTGCTAGAATCAGAAGACAAAGGAGCTGTGACAGCCACACCCAAAGAAAGCGAGATAATCTTGTGTAAATCCTGCGGAACAGCAGGGACCTCACAGATAGGTTGCAACCATTGTTGGGCTCGAATTTACAGGGATATTGGCAGCCTTAGCAACACTGGAGAAAAGAGATAAAAATCAGATTCTCAATTTTATGTATGTTGCTGGAGATGTTTGTAATAATTCTGGGTTTGCAAAAGACGAGAATATGAGTCTAAAAATAACAAATAGACATACAACAGAGATCTCTGAAGATTATTGCATGCCTAAAAGGAATGGCGCTTTGGGAAAGAGAATGTTTGCATGCGTGCAGAAAGCATGTTGAACTACGGACCAGTGTGTTACAGAATTAAGAAGGTTTAGCAAAAATTGTGGCTCTAGTGAATTAAAAATCTGCACTAACAGAGTTGTCTGTAGAATCAGACATAATCTCCTCAGAAAACAGCTGTTCTATAAGGGAGATTTATCCCAAGACAGAAGCCAAACATCTGGATTCAGCTGGAGGTGCTCTCCACCCTCTAAACTTAGAGAAGGAAAGAGCAGTCATTCCTTTGGGCCTGGACGTGGGGAGATCTCATGGAGTCACAAAACAACAACATGATTAAGGGGTGCGTCAGTTCCTCACATAGACCTGAAATGGCACTTTACTACCGGTAATCCAAACCATGGTTTTCTGGTTTGATTTAAGATGGAGTCTAAGAACATAAGAGATGCCAATGTTGGATCAGGCCAAGGCCCATCCAGTCCAACACACTGTATCACACAGTGGCCAGAAATACCAGGTGCCATCAGGAGGTCCACCAGTGGGGCCAGGGCACTAGGAGCCCTCCCACTGTTGACCCCCCCAAGCACCAAGAAGACAGAGCATCACTTGCCCCAGAGCCCCTATCTATACCTTGTGGCTAATAGCCACTGATGGACCTCTGCTCCATATGCTTATCTAATTCCCTTTTGAAGCCGTCCATGCTTGTAGCCGCCACCACTTCCTGTGGCAGTGAATTCCACGTGTTAATCACTCTTCGGGTGAAGAAGGACTTCCTTTTATCCGTTCTAACCCGACCGCTCAGTCTCCCTGTACATCCGGCTGCATAGGTCCTAGGAAAGTAGGGGACTCTGGAAGGGTGAAGAGTTGACAGTTCCATGTTTCTGTGTAGACAGGAAGTTGGGTTACCAAGCTCCACAACTAGTTCTGCAAGATCCTGTCCCGGTGTAGGACTTAATGGAGCACTGCAAGGGAAAAATGCTGTTCAGCATTCCCTCTGATTTAGAATGCTTAGATACCTCTTGGAACACTGCCAAGGATTAATGGTGAGCCTGGAAAATCTCTTCAACTGGCTTGGGACGCTTTTATTAATTATTTGAATACTCATAATATGGATATACGTTCTTACAGCTCGTGCATGGATGCTGATCCTGAAGTCATTTTGTTGGTCGTAGCTGCAGGGTATCAGGCCAAAAGGTGTTTCCAGCCCACAATCCCAGCCGTGGATATGATTGCTCGGGCCCATCCTCCTCCACTTAAGGAAACAAGAACCACTCGTTATTACATGAGATTTATTTGCAGACTATCAGTTGCTAACAGTGTTCCCTCTAAGCTGAGTTAGTGTGAGCCAGCTCACAGATTTTTGTCTTCGCTCAGAAGGGATGGCTCCAGAGCAAACTAATTTATGCTGCAGCCAGATCACCTGCTCAGAGTTTTAATGCCAGGAGCTCACAAAGTAGAATTTTTGCTCACAAGACTCCGCAGCTTAGAGGGAACATTGGTTGCGAAAACTAGTGGCGCTTACGGCATTGGTCCGTTTGGGCACAGCAGCATCAGGGGTTGGCTTAGGCGGTGACTTGCCGACCAACAAGAGCTGCCAGTAAATCCAGGCTGATTCTGAGTTGGCTTTTCCCTCTGTTGTTTTTTGAAATCCACCTTGGAAGAGAAATCCCCCTCTGCATTGCATGCCGCTTTCGCTTTCTTTGATCATCGGATTCTGTGGTAGCCTCCACACTGCATGCCGCTTTTGCTTTCTTTGATCATTGGGTTTTGTGGTAGCCTCCACACTCTGTGCCACTTTCACATTCTTTGATCATCGGGTTCTATGGTACCTTCTGCATAGATTTATGGCCATTCAGGGGTGACTTTGCAGTCAGTACGACATTGCCCCAAGGTATTTGAATGTGGTTTTGAGCCGCACCTTTTCCTCCCAGCTGAGAAAATGTAGAGCAAATGCTAGCTGCAGAATCGCCCTCACTCACCGTGGTGGCTTTTGCAAGGGAAGGAGGGAGTTTGGAGGAATCAGCTGAAGATGGGGGGAAAGGTCACACACCCCTCCCACCTCCCCTCTACCCCTCCCTGCCTCCGTCCTCTCTCCCCTTCCCCTCACAGTCTGCTGTCTACACACAGCATTTGCACCTGCGTGCTTGGGATAATTTGGATATTTGCTGTGGGATGTACTAAAACAAAGGACATCTCATTGGGAATAATGGGAGAGGCTGGCGAGCTCTTTATGTAGCTGGAACTCCTTTGCATATTAGGCCACACATCCCTAATGTAGCCTCCAAGAGCTTACAGAGCTCTTCTTACAGGGTGTAAGCTCGTGAAGAATTGGTTACATTAGGTGTGTGTTGCCTAATATGCTTTCCTGCTACAAAAAGAGCCCAATGCATGGGCTCCACTGAAAGACATTATACAATGAAAATGAGGAATGGAGTTTGGATGAAGGTCTCTGGGCCTACATAGACTGCTCTGGTACTGGAATGATGGCCTGCAAAATAGAATGATGGTTGCTGGGAGAAGTATGAGTGTTCTGGGACTGGAATGACAGGACACAGAGTGGAATAAGAACATAAGAGCCCTGCTGGATCAGTCCAGTGGTCCATCTAGTCCAGCGTCCTGTCTCACACCATAGCCAACCCGCTCCTCTGGAAGGCCAACGACCGGGCACAGAGGACAAGACCTTCGCCTGATGTTGCCTCCTAGTACTGGGGTTCAGACGCTGACTGCCTCTAAATGTGGAAGTTCCCTTCAGTCACCACGGCTAGTAGCCACTGATAGACCTGTCTTCTGTTACTTTATCTCATCCCCCTTTAAAGCTGTCTGTTCCTGTGGCCATCACGACATGCTCTGGCAGCGAATGCCACATTTTAGTCACACACTGTGTAAAGAAGTATTTCCTTTTGTTTGTCTTGAATTTACTGCCCATCGGCTTCGTCGGATGCCCTCAAGTTCTAGTATTTTGGGAGATGGAGAAAAAAAACATTCTCTTTGTCAAATCTGCACCCCGTCCATAATTTTCATGTGCCCCGCCCCTGCACCTCACCCGGGGGAACTGCGTTCCCCCGCGTTCCCCCCCGAAATGACCTCTGGTCTCGTTTAGAAAATGAAAAGTCCCGGACTCTTCAGCCTTTCCTCATAGGGAAGGTGCTCCGACCCCCTAATCACCTTTGTTGCCCTCTTCTGTACGTTTTCCAGCTCTGTGATGTGACCAGAAATGAGGCCACACCATAGATCTATACAGGGGCATTATAATATCAGCCGATTTATGTTCAGTCCCTTTCGTAATAATCTCTATCACAGAGTTTGCCTTTTTCACTAGCTTACAGCACACTGGGTTGACACTTTCATGGAGCTACCCACTACAACCCCAAGATCTTTTCCCCTCTCAGTCTCAGCAAGTTCAGACACCATTAGCCCGAGACACGGGAAGTCCCTAGTTCAAGTCTCATCTCTGCCATAAACTCTCTCAGTGGAGCCCCCATCTGTAATACAGAGACGATAATCCAACTGGTCTGCTTTACAGCTGTGTTTGCAAGGAGAACAAGATAATTTATGTGAAGAGCTTTGAACAACCCAACACAATCTTTAAATATTATTATCAGTTTCATCCAGTCATCACACAGAGTGCTTTTGGTAAATAGGGATTCAGAAATGGGAGTCCTGGCATGGAACAAATAACAGCCTGACAAAAATTTCACGGTATTCTTCTTATTGCAGGAGAGAATACAAATCCATTACAGCAGTTTACAACAGTAAACGGGAAACGAAGACCTGTTCTAACTCCATTCGTATTTGTAACTAGTAAACCGCAACTTTGCATTGCATTAATTATCCTTAGCAATCTTTTCAGCTTCACACAATTTATTAAATCAATGCATTTCGAAGAAACCACAGGTGCTTTACTGCTGTTTCAAAAGGGGAGATGCATCTCTGGAGGCATTTACAATTTGAAGGTGCTTCTATTTTTTTAATCTGGTTTGTCAATATTACTAGTTTGAGATTAGCACCGCCCATTCCGACATATGTACTGAAATATCTTGTTTAATAAGCAATGCAGATCATTGATTCCCTCTTATAACTATGAACTGCTGGGCACTGGAGTCTGCCTTGAAATTTACAGACCCTTTGGAGATCCAGGTAGCTTATATTTGTTCTTTCATTGGTCAAAATGCTTGCACGCATATGTAAGTGGCGGGGAGAACTCACTGGCCCCAGGAATTCTGAGATCGATACTGGGTGCCTTAGAATCAGTAAGGACAAGGCTTACTCCCTTCATCTCCTCCTAACTCCCTATTTTACTGGGATTTTGATTTGCTTTTCTTGCTCAGTCTTCCTTTCCTGCCGAAACACTTCCTAAAGCAGAAGAGAGAGCACTTCAGTGAGATGAAGAGAACGAGGAGGAGAACAGCCAAGAGGAAGGCGAAAACATCAATAGAATGGTACTGGATCCAGTTGAGGTCATGGGCCGCCGGTCGTAAATGAGGAGCACCCTTATGCTTCATCACAAATTCCACCCAATGTACAGCAAGGTCGAGAGGGTGGATGGGTCTGTCCAGGTGGAGGGCCGAAAGACGCATGATGTTCTCTTTGTACCTGAAAGCATTGCAAAAGATAACGTGTTACTTGGAACCTCTTTATGAGCAGTGGGTACAGATGGACGCAGCATGGCTGGGGGGGGGGGGCTCACCACCAGCCCTTGAATGTCAGTGCTGTTCTCCAGTTAACTGAAAAAATTTCCCCAAAGGTCAAACATGTTTTTTTAAAATATGTGGAGATATATCGGCCCTCAAAGAGAAAGATCCTGCTTTCAGTCTTAGAAGAAAAATGTATGCGGTAAATGAAAATATATCATAGATACTACATACAGTGGCACGGTGGCACAGCAGAGAGCACCAGTGGAGGGCCAGGCCCAGTGGGACAACCAGACCTGTCCCCAGTAAGTCCTCCTCCATCAGGGAACATACCAGGGGGAAGGGAACTGGACCTTTTCCAGGGCTTTTTGACAATCCAAGTTCTCCCCCCCAAGGATTTTCTTTACAGAAACCAAGGCTTGGAAGGCTCAGCAATATTTTTGTGGTTGCCTAGTAACAGCCCAGGCAAGCCTGATCTTGTCAGAACTCGGAAGCTTAGCAGAGTCAGCCGATGTCAGTATTTGTATGGGAGACAGACCAACAATACCAGGGTCTCTGTGCAGAGGCAGGCAATGGCAAACTGCCTCTGAGTGTCTCTTGCAAGGAAAACCCTACAGGATTGCCATAAATTGGCTGCGAATGGCCACTGAGATCTCAGTGAACATACATTTTTAAAAGCTACAGCTATTATTTCTGTTATTTGGGGGAGTTTAAATCCCCCAGTGTTGTGTTGTTGTTTTTTAGATTTCAGTTTTCATTGCAAAACCAGGTTTGTAGGAAAAATACCCCCTCTCTGTACCATGCTTAAGAGGAGACGGAGGGAGTGTAACAACAAGGTCTCAATTAGTTACCCTTAGCATTCCACAATCAAGAAGGGTACATCTGCATATCAGTCTCCATATTGCAAAACCAGGTTTGTAGGAAAAAATCCCCCCTCTCTGTACCATGCCTAAGAGGAGACGGAGGGAGTGTAACAACAGGGTCTCAATTAGTTACTCTCAGCATTCCACAATTAAGAAGGGTACATCTGCATATCAGTCTCCAGTTTTGACATATTTATTTCCTCCTCTGTGTTTCCCCGCGAACTAAGCCCAAACAATATTTATTTATTTACTTGTTTGATTTTTATCCCGCCCTCCCTGCCACAGGCAGGCTCAGGGAGGCTTACAGTAAGGGTTAAAAACACATTAAAGCACAAACATAACAAGCATAGCTCAACAATAAAATAGCATAAAATAAAAACAAAAACAAAGTGCTGGTGACAATAACAACCCCAGTGGCCATGATAGATGTTCCCCCAAAATGGCCCCCAACGGCATCCGGCATAGTTAGTTCGTATTATCCAGTTCAGTTAATGTTGGTTGATGTTACTGATGTGATTGATGTTATTAGTGGCGGCTCCTAGTCGAAGGCCGGGTGGAAGAGCTCCGTTTTACAGGCCCTGCGGAACTGTAAAAGGTCCCGCAGGGCCCTGATGTCCTCCGGGAGCTCATTCCACTAGTGTGGAGCCGCCACTGAGAAGGCCCTAGCCCCTGGTAGAGGCCAGTCTGGCATCTTTTGGTCCAGGGAGGGCCAAACGATTTTGGGTCCCTGACCTCAGTGCTCTCTGGGGGACATGTGGGGAAAGGCAGGTAGGCAGCCCCCAGGCCATATAGGGCTTTAAAGGTCAAGACCAGCACCTTGAAGCGAATCCGGTATGCTATAGGCAGCCAGTGCAATGCCCTTAGCACAGGCTGGATGTACTCCCGCATCGGGAGACTCATCAAAAGCCCAGCCACTGCATTTTGCACTAGCTGCAGCTTCTGGATTTGTGACAAGGGCAGCCCCATGTAGAGAGCATTGCAGTAGTCTAATCTCGAGGTGACCATTGCGTGGAAACAAATGGTAACCATATAAACTAAGCTTGTTATTCCTGTTTGATCCTTGAATCTGTTAATTTACTGCTCATCCTCTGCCTACATGTATGGACTGGTAACTTCCATGTCATTGTCTCTGAGGTATGCATGCGCATGAAAGCTTATATCAGGTATATCTTCGTATGGATGGGTAACTTCCATGTCATTGTCTCTGAAGTATGCATGCGCATGAAAGCTTATATCAGGTATATCTTCGCTAGACGTCTTCACTCTAGCCCTGTGCAGACAAACCATCCATGCGTTTACTCTCTGCACAGGGAGAGTCAGAAGCTTACTGGATCCAGCCCTCCCTCCACATCATCACCAGGTAACAGGGTTGCCACCTTCCAGGTAGCGCCTGGAGATCTGCTATTATAATTGATCTCCAGGTGACCAAGATCAGTTCCCCTGGTGGAAATGGCTATTTGGAAGGTGGAGTCTATGGCATTATGCAATGCTGGGATCCCTCTTCTCCCCAAACCCCACCCTCCATGGGCTCCACCCCTCCCCCAATTTCCAGGTATTTTCCAACCTGTAGCTGGTAACTCTATGAGGTCACCTGCTCACTGCGAGCACATAGAGGAAGTGCCAGCACTTTCCCCCCCTCCTTATAATCAGTGATGTTGTTTTCTGAACATTTCTGAAATGAAGTATTTCTGCATAACACTCTACGAGGTCACCTGCTCACTGCGAGCACACAGAGGAAGTGCCAGCACTTATTTCCCCCCCCTCCTTATAATCAGTGATGTTGCTTTCTGAACCTTTCTGAAATGAAGTATTTCTGCATAACACTTTATGAGATATCTGACACTTACCAGGGAGTAAGCCCAATTGAATAAATGGGTCTTATTCCTGGGAAAACTGATTAACGCTATTTTTTTAGACATATCAAATGTCACTTCTGCAGTGAGCTACTTATAGTTTCCTTTTGGGTCATTTAATGACTCCCACCCATGGTGTATTTGTGTGTTTCCAAACATTTTTCAGCCTTATCAAAGCTCTCTCTTGCATAGAAGTATGGGTTCGCTGGTGCTTCACACTGGGCACAGTGCAGGGAAAGGAATATGAAAGTGGATTAAGTTCTAAAAACACGGGCCTAGGGATGCCAGCCTCCAGGTGGGACCTGGGGATGCCCCAGAATTACAGACCATTACAAGGTCATATCCAGACTAAATAGATCAGTTACCCTGGAGGAAATGGATGCTTTGGAGGATGTACTGGCATTCTACCCTACTGAGATCTCTGTCCTCCCCAGGCTCCCAAATCTCCCAAGAGTTTCCCAGCCTAGATATGGCAGCCCTAACCCCCCATCCCCCCGCCAGTGGCGGTGGGGGTACCAGGCAAATCCTACATGGGCCAGAGTAAAATGTTGCTTGTTCGTTTAACTCTGAGCAATGCTTCCTCCAAGATGTGGAGTCTTGTGAGCAAAAATTCTACTTTGTGAGCTACTGGCATTAAAGTTGTGAGCGCGCGATTTGGCTACTGCATACGTTTGCTCTAGAGCCATCCTTCCTGAGCTAAGACAATAAAAGTGTGAGCAGAAGGCTAAAAAACTGTGAGCTGGCTAACACTGAGTCCACTAGGGGGCTAAAGAGTCAGGCTATTCCATAGAAGGACAAAAAAGTGCCTCTTTGCAGACTGACCAGAGGGCCTGAAGCAGCAGGTGGCTTGCCTCAGGACACCCCCAGCTTTCCTATAAAACTGTACATTAATATGTTAGGGCTACAAGAAACTTCTGGAAAGAAAGAACGGACAACACACCAAGGCAGAGCAAAGCTGCGAGTCTATTCGTCTTCAAGGGACTGGCTAGATTGAAGTAAGTAAAGACTGTGAGATCCTGGTCTGCTTGAATACAACTGGCCCGAATTACTGTTGTACAACCTTAATTAGGGATGGGCATGAACCTAACCATGAAGCAAAATTAGTCATGAATTTTGCCCTGTGCATGGTTCGCAAACAGATGTTCACGACGGGTCTGCCTCGTGGCAGTTCATTGATGGAGCAGAAAGCAGGGGTTTAAAGGGATTCCAAGTCCCTTTGAACCCCTGCTTTCTGTTCCCTGCAAAAGCCACAGAAACAGCCGTGTGGTGGAGAGGTTATCCCCGTGGCTCAGCTGTTTTTCCGGTTTTCTGCAAACCCTGTTTAAAGAGACTGCAGTCCTTTTCAGCTGGGTTTGTGGGGCCATGGACCACAAACCAGTTTGATTTGTGAACAAACCTCCTGGTCCGTTTTAGTTCATGTTTTGGTTCATGGTTTGGCCATGAACCGAACTGCATTTTCCTGGTTCGTGCCCATCCCTAATTTTAATTATTGTTCCATATATACTGTGTCTTACTATGAAACTCACACTAACTCCCTAATCTTAATTATTGTTCCATATATACTGTGTCTTACTATGAAACTCACACTAACTCAGCTTAGAGGGAACACTGCCCACGACTGCCCCCTCACTCCCTCCTGCTGGATTTAAAGGGCCCTCCAGCTGATCTGTGGGCCACGTGATCCTCGCCAATCAGATGAAGCCCTTTAAATCTAGCAGGAGGGGTGGCTGGGTGGGTGGTCGCTCTTGGGGGCAGGGCTTCCCCGCCAGCCAGGTGGCCAGGGGCGGATTGGAGCCCCTAAAAGTGGAGGGACCCTAGCTTGGACCTGGGAACTGACAATCCTATACCGGACTCAAATCTCACTGTTCCACTGCAGACCAGCACAGCCACCCTCTGAAACGATCTTTATGGAAATGCTCTCTTGATGAGTGAATTAATGATATCACCATGTTTGGAAAGGAAAAACTGGACACTATCGAAGAACTTAACAGGGAAATGGCCTCCCTTCATTTTGCCCGAAATAAGCCTCTGCGATACCAGACAAGCAGTTCTTTTCTTGACGGAAGGGGTTACTGCGAATAATTCTACCTACCGATTACTGTGTACAGAATACACATCAAATTGTCTGCCAAGGAACTGATGCCTGTGTGCCATGAAGGAAGCCGCCGTATGTTGCAGAATATGCCTTAACACATTGTAGGACAAACCACCCACGTGGAATACTTACATTACATGAACTAAAAGGGCCTCCAAAATACATCTAAAAAAAAAATAATCTCTTCCGCACTTAATTTTTTTGAAAAGGTCCCTAATGTCAGGCATACCGGACTTCAAGGACACTTTGTACTACTAATACTCCTCTTCTTACGAACATTGTTCTAATAAGCTTCTGAGAGACCCTAAATGTTTCCAAATTGCAGTTTGCAAATCACTAGTGTAGGGGATCTTTGGTTCGAGCGGAGAACCGAAGCAGCCAGAAAAAAGGCTCTATTAAAAGACATGTTAAATGTGTTAATTTTACTTGAATCCGTGCACTGTTTTATTTCCACGGTCATATGTTTCATAATGATTAACGCTTGCCAACGGAAAGGGTGCTGATTAAATAAAGGAACAGGGAAAGGAGGGGAAAAGGCAAAAAAGAACTGAGAAAAAGGAAGAAAAGGAGAAGCGAGATGAAAGAAATGCCAGTCACAGGTATCCCATTAGTGGATCAATTCTGTTTCTCTATAAAGTATTGACCTTAGAAATATATAATTCTAAATGTGTTTAGCACTGGCCCTTGAATGAATTCGGTGTGTTGATGCCTCTGACTACTCACGTTTTATCGTTAATAACAGCCTTCAGTGCATCAGAGAGGTCCTTGGAAGTCATTTCAAGGACGTTGAGGGTCACTCCTGCTCCCCGGGATTCCACTCGCTTGGCGTTGTCCATCTGGTCTCCAAAAAGGGGCATCACCACCATTGGGACTCCATTGCAGATTCCCTCATAAATCCCGTGGGAGCCTCCGTGGGTGATAAAGGCTCTGGCTTTCGGATGGGCTGTGGGAGCAAGAGGGACGGTTGGAAAAGTGAAACTGGGTTGAATAGATTGCTTGTCACACTACGCCTCTTGTCTAATGTATATGATGGAAAAGGCGTTTGAGCCAGTTTAGTGTAGTGGTTAGGAGCACGGACTCTAATCTGGGAGACCAGGGTTTGATTCCCCACTCCTCCTCGTGCAGCTGCTGGTGTGACCTTGGGTCAGTTACACGCTCTTTCAGAGCTGCTCTCTCAAGGGCAGTTCTCAAGAGAGCTCTCTCAGCCCCACCTACCTCACAGGGTATCTGTTGGGGGGGGGAAGGAAATTGTAAGCCGCTCTGAGACTCCTTTGGGTAGTGAAGGGTAAGGTATAAATCCAATCTCTTCTTAAGAGCATAAGAACATAAGAGATGCCAATGTTGGATCAGGCCAAAGGCTCATCCAGTCCAACACACTGTCACACAGTGGCCCAAAATACCAGGTGCCATCAGGAGGTCCACCAGTGGGGCCAGGACATTAGAAGCCCTCCCACTGTTGACCCCCCCCCCCAAGCACCAAGAGTACAGAGCATCACTTGCCCCAGAGTCCCTATCTATACCTTGTGGCTAATAGCCACTGATGGACCTCTGCTCCATATGCTTATCTAATTCCCTTTTGAAGCCGTCCATGCTTGTAGCCGCCACCACTTCCTGTGGCAGTGAATTCCAAGTGTTAATCACTCTTTGGGTGAAGAAGGACTTCCTCTTATCCGTTCTAACCCGACCGCTCAGCAATTTCATGGAGTGCCCACGAGTTCTTGTATTGTGAGAAAGGGAGAAAAGTACCTCTTTCTCTACCTGCTCTTTCCCATGCATAATCTTATAAACCTCAATCATGTCACCCCTCAGTCGTCATTTCTCCAAGCTAAAGAGCCCTAAGCGCCTTAACCTTTCCTCATAGGGAAAGTGTTCCAACCCTTTTATCATTCGAGTTGCCCTTTTCTGCACTTTTCCCAAAGCTATAATATCCTTTTTAAGGTGTGGTGACCAGAATTGCACACAGTATTCCAGATGAGGTCGCACCATTGATTTATATAGCGGCATTATGATATTGGCTGATCTGTTTACAATACCCTTCCTAATAATCCCCAGCATAGCATTGGCCTTCTTTATTGCAGTCACACACTGTCTCGACATTTTCAGTGAGTTATCTACTACAACTCCAAGATCTCTCTCTTGATCAGTCTCTGCCAGTTCAGACCCCATCAACGTGTATTTATAGTTAGGATTTTTGGCTCCAATGTGCATCACCTTGCACTTGGCCACATTGAACCCCATTTGCCATGTTGACGCCCACTCGCCCAACTTTGACAGATCCCTTTGGAGTGCCTCACAATCCTCACTGGTTTTCACCACCCTGAACAACTTCGTATCATCCGCAAATTTAGCCACTTCACTGCTTACTCCCAACTCCAAATCATTAATGAACAAGTTAAAAAGCAGTGGACCAAGTACTGATCCCTGTGGTACCCCACTGCTTACACCCCTCCACTGGGAGAACTGCCCATTTATACTCGCCACACCCAACAGCAGAAACTCATTAGGATTGGCTACATTAGGGGTGTGTGGCCTAACATGCAAAGGAGTTCCTGCTACAAAAAAGGCCCTGGGTTTTGACAACAAACAAGGTAAACAGAATAAGAAGCTAAAGGTAGGTGTGGCTGGATGACCACACTTCTGGTAACATGGGGGAGTGGCCTAATATGTTAATGTGCTGTGCTGTCAGGGGTGTGGCCTAATAGGCTAATGAGTTCCTGGTGTTGGGTGTGGCCTGTTATGCTAATGAGTTCCTGCTGGGCTTTTTCTAAAAAAAGAGCCCTGACATGGGTTTGGCGGATCAATGTCACCCCTCCTTCTGATTCTGATCAATGTCACCCCTCAACTGGAAGAGACTATCTCCTGGACACACCAGGAAGTTTTCTTTTGGGGCGAATAATTTCTAACTCTAGGCCAGCTGTGCAGGAGGGGGCCCAAAAGACATTTCGACGCGTACAAGCCTAAAAAGACTAGCCTCAAACTAAATTTCAACTTCTAGATTTCATCTGAAAACCAACATCTGCATTGTCTACGGATTTAAGTGTTCTGCTGCTGGGGCCGTCCTGAGAATTAGTTACGATGTTCATGATGGGGTTGGGCTGGGGGGGGGGGAAGGGCTGCATCGGAATAATTTATGGTCCAGACATACCAAGTAGATCATTCTGCGGGAGCCACTTGACGAGTTTGGTGTTCTTCGCAAGGTTGGGAGGCACTTCGCCAGTATACCTCCACAGCACCTTCATGGAATAGGAAATATAAAACAGTGTATTGACTGAAATGCTCTCCAGTACTGATTTTTTTCCCCCTGCAAAGGAGTAAACTGGAAAAGAACACACACACCAATATTTAATCCAGGGGATACTCATTCTGTGGATCACAGAGAGCCCCATTCGCCATTCCAGTCAGCCAAAAACACCACAGGACTACTGTATGCCTTGTCTGCCAACCAAACATGCACGACCAATAATGTATAAGTACAGGACAACCCTTTTAATTACCAAAGTACCTCTGAGCATGTACCGCTGAGCATTTCCCCGCTATTGGGAGTTATGTTTTGTGGGTTAGAATTCGACAGTGGTACGCCACGTTCCACCACCTCATTCAGCCGCCTAGGTTGACCCAGACTCATACAGTCTTCTACATATGGACAACCTTGATAGACAAGTTTTAAAATTAAAAAACAGCTTTATTTGGGACCCATAGTTATGACGAAATGATTCCAATTCCTAAAGAAATTGCCCACTTTCCTGGAACACGGGGTGAGTGCCGGGGGAAGTTGTGTTCAGAGGAGCCATCTTTGACGCCACTGAGTAAGCATCACTGACTTAATCCTACCTTTTCCATGGCTGTTCCAATGGTTTACTGTAACTTCAGCTTCCCACCTTTGCTACTCACAGGCATTCTTTAGTGAGTCTGGGGGCCTTGGGCAAAAGTCAAGGATGGGGGCCCCTGCACTCCCAGGGCCCAGGCCCGGGTAATAGAAAATCACTACCCTCAAATTACAATTGTCCAAAATCAGACTTACCTTCTTGCACAAGGGATTTAAAGGCACTAAGGCAGAATTAAATCTGCCAGCCTCAGACTTCTTCACAACGGTTTCCTCCCTCACCCCGATGATTTTGGAATGTAGTGACCTCACTTGGTGTCATTTGGTTTCCTGTCTGCTTCTCTAGGTTCTATGAGAGGAAAAGTGAAGGCTTGGTGGGGGCCAGGTGAAGCCTCTCTCCGAGGGGGCTGCTACATTCTGTGGGGAGGCAGGTGGCTGGCAGCCAAGCAAGGGTCCACCCCTCTGGTCAGCTACTGGGCTCCCTCCAGGGTCCAGCCTCACCACACCCCGCCACCCTCTGAGTTCGCTGCATTCTTCAAGGGCCAGCCCGAAGGCAGAACTCAAAGTGGATATCCCCTGCCTCCACCTGCTGTGCACACAACCTTTCCTGCTCAAATGTCTACTTGTCTCAGGAATGGTACTGGTCCAGTTGGATCCCCAGCCCCTGTTTCCAATCAAACTGAAATCACCTGTGAAAAGGAGGGGGCTGCATTTGAATGTGGGCAGAATATATTTTCTGTTACTGCAGTCATTCCCCTGAAAAGTTGTTTTCCAGAGGATAACGCACATTGTACATTACTGCTCTGGGTCAGTTTTTTGTGTGTGGCCAAGAAGATGCACTCTTTCGAGCTACACAGAGCTCTTCTGATGAAAAGTTCGGTGTAATTCCAAATGCCGCATAATGTTGTACCTACAAAAGTGGATCCAATTAAACATCGTGTTTTGCTCACATTGTATGTTACATATAGGTGAATGTTTATTTATTTATTATTTATTTATTTGATTTATATCCTGCTCCCCCCCCAGCAGGCCCAAGGCAGCTTACAAGGCCATTTGGCAATAGAACATTAAAACAATGCATCAATTAAGATAATGCATCAATTAAGATAATATATAAGGTTGACTTATCTAAGCCAACCAGAGCAGAACCTTACTCTTTTCCCCAAAAGCATGATCCTTTTTCTGCAATTACCAGTTCTGTTTTCAGTCATTAGCACAGATCCTTACTTTTCACTCCTACGTAAATGTAATTGCACAAAAATAAGGAAAGGTTCATTAACAGCAGTGCTGAAAAACATGGAAAGGGACATAACTAGAAGGAACAGGAGATTAAGGCAATCAAAGAGAACCCAGCATAAACAGGGAAAGTGGTGATTAGAGAGAATTAAGGAAAGGGAGAAAAGACCTGGGAAGTGATCGGATAACCAACTTGTAACTAATGCTGGGCTGAAATGCTGCTGTAGCTCCAGAACGTTTGGAGAACTGGAAACCTTTCTCTTCTCTGGGCTTCTTTGCCAGGGCGGCCACTGTGAATTTTGTGGACTCTCTACAAAGCTGCTGGACAGGTGAGTCTGAATGTATTTCCCACGAGTAGAAAAGATGCCTTTACACACTTATCCCCTATTTTGACATATTTATTACTTTGGTTTCCTTCCTTCCTTCCTTCCTTCCTTCCTTCCTTCCTTCCTTCCTTCCTTCCTTTTATACCCCGCCCTCCTCGACAAGCAGGCTCAGGGCGGCTTACATAAAAAATCCAACACATAAATAACATTTATAAAACAATCTTAAAGCAGTCATAAAACCATTCAACTATCATAAAGTGCTATTACTGTCACAAGTGCTAGAACAGTAGATCTCAATTAATAGCCTTGAGATGGCGGTAACATGATGGTCAGTTCAGGTGATCTAGGTAGATGGACAGCTTATTTTGATTTATTTATCAAAACAACTGTCGGCCTTATAACTTTAGCTTGTTATTTTGTTTGGTTTTTACATAACTTAAGACATCTTCATCATGTTACACGTAAATCTGCTGTTCAGCCTCTGTCTGTAAGTTTGAAATCTTCCTTCCATTCCAGTGTATTTGAAAAAGTGTGCGTGCACACAAAAGCACATACCTTGAATAAGCCTTTGTTGGTCTTAAAGGTGCGGCTGGACTCTAAATTCGGTCTACTGCTTCAGACCAACAGGGCTGCCCACCTGGAAAGGTCTAGCAAAGTACCTTAAACCAAAAGCTCAATATTGGCTTTTCCTTGCCTGCTATACACACTGTTGCACTGCCCTCTGGTGTCTGTAGTAGAACACCAAAATAAAAATTCAACCAGAACTTTTGCAATGCAGTTCCACAGTCCAGGCTAGCCTGATCGGATCTCGGAAGCTAAGCAGGGGCCCTGGTCTTTGTCTGGATGGGAGCCCACCAAAGAAGTCCAGGGCGACTCGTGACGCAGAAGCCTCTTGCCTTGAAAAGCCTACGGGGGTGCCACGTCTGCTGTGACTTGACAACAAAAAGGGAGGCAAGGAAAGGATGCCTGAAAAAATGAAGCACAGCCTTCACAACCACTGGCTTCATATCAAGAAGGCACTCATGCTCGATGTTTGTGCCTCTTTGCTGGCGCAAGCCCCCGAAGTCAGCAGTTGTTGCTCAGGTTTGCATCAACACCCGTCCCTGGGCTTCTGGGATAAAGCCTGGACTCCTGCAGAGGCAGGACCACTACTGGCAGGGTCACCACAGAAGACAACCTTTGGGGTTGTCACTTTGGGGGGGGGGACATGAGGGCCTGTCACCCTGTCAGTAGAAATTGGTGGCGGGAGAACCAAAGGGCTTGTTAGGTGGTTGGGGGAGTGGGACTTCTAGTCTTCAGTGGTCTCCTTACTGGGGATATGGGCCCAGGGAGGGGGGACTGCAGTTCTCCTGGTCCTCGACAGAGGGAGGTATGATGGTGGGTTCCAGGCTGGCTATTCCAGGAGAAGGAGTTCTGGCCGCCGGTTGGCCTCTCTTCCTTCAGGTCTGCTTCCCAACCAACAGAGACCTAGTTGTACCAAGACTGGGCCCTTTGGCCTTAAGATCCTGCTGCTGAATGGCAGGTGAGTCAATGGAAGAACTACGGCCAATTCAGGGTGGATAACAATCGATGGGCTTTAATTCTTTTTTTAAATCACATTTTTAAAATTTAAATCGGTTTTTTAAAATTTAAATTGGATTTTTTTAAAAAATGTTTTTTTGAGGAAAAAGCTATCTAAAGATAGTTTTCTGTTTAAGATAACATTATCGTCCAAAGGTTATTCACCATGAAATAAGGATTAGTTTTTAATTATGTAGCATGAGGCTGTATATTCATGCAATGTTTAAATTTTTTTTGTAAATGAATTCCATTAATCCAGTCACAATGTCATGCACTCCCAGAGGTTCCTGTGAGATTATTTTGGGCATTTTTTCTGTCTAGATTACCACAGACACTTGGTTTTGCAGTTCTCAAAACTGTGAATTTGTGTCTGCAGCGATAACATGCCTCTTCTCAGCAAAAATGTTATAAAATAAACACACAAAGTAGACAAAAAGACCTTAATCCCATTGTTCCTTTGCAAATCTATGTACACAGAATCAACCCTTTACCTCTTTAAAGTGCCAAATTCCAAAATTCATCTGGTTGTAAATGTTAAGATTATACCAGCAAGAATGAGTCTTTATGTAGAAAACCATGATTTAAATCTAGTCTCACTGCCTAGTGATTTTAATTGTGATTTAAATCAAATCCACTCTGACGGCCATGCAGGATTTAACCCTCGATGGACAGGCTGATTACGGAAACTTGGTTGGAGGAGTTTAGGGGAATAAATACAACCCAGCTGTGCTCTCCAGGTTTCTCTGTGCACAACAAGCTAGGCCAACAGGACAGGGAGGTGAGGTTGCAGTGGTCTATCACAGTTTCATCCATTTACTGAGGTGCCTCCGCCAACTGTCAGTTTTGAGTGTGTGCTCCTGAGGGTGGGTACGTTCTACAGGGTAGGGATTCTGCTGGTGATTCTGATTCTACTGTCCACCCCACTGCCCAGCTGTCTCTCTTCCTGAGCTAGCTGAACCGGTCTCGAGTGTGCTGGTGGAAACCACAAGACTGGTGGTCTTGGGTGACTTTAACATCCATGCCGTGGCTAGGCTGTCAGGAGTGGCTCAGGATTTCATGGCCTCCGTGAGGCCTGCAGGCCTGTCCCAAGTAATTACTGGTCCCACACACTTAGCAGGGCACATACTAGATCTGGTCTAGTGCAATGATGGGGAGGGTGACCTGGAGGTGGGAGAGTTAAAGTCCTTGCCGTGGACAGATCATTGGTGGGTACATGAGAGGGGGCCTTTTCAGCGGCAGCCCCACGATTATGGAACAACGGGAGTTGTGCGTGGCCCCCTCACTTTTGATCTTTAGGAGGCAGCTGTTCTATTTAGGAATGCTTATTTAATTAAAGCAGTCCTAATGTGATTTTAAAATTTGGTTTTATGTTTTTCATGCATTTTATTAATCTTGTAAGCTGCCTTGAGCACTATGGGAAGAAAGGCAGCTAATAAATGGGAAGAAAGGTCCGGGACGCAACACCGAGTGGTGATTCCAGGCCCCAGGGAGGCAAGGCTTGCCATGACCAGGGCCAGATCCTTTTCAGTGGTGGCTCCTACCTGGTGGAACGAGCTCCCGGAGGAGATCAGGGCCCTGCGGGACCTTCTGCAGTTCCACAGGGCCTGTAAGACAGAGCTCTTCCGCCAGGCTTTTACGTAGGGGCCGCCACTGCCACCACCACAAATGGCATGGGTAACAACGGGGCTAGTGGGGACGGTCCCTGCAGCAGCTTGTGTGAAATTGACACGTACCATTGGGGCAAAAGGGAAGAGTGAGTGCGGAGCAGCACTTGTGGGAAATCGGTCCTATAGAAACATCACAATTGAAGGTTTTGGGGATTTCTTCCTGTCTTTTTTTTAAAAAATTCAGATTTTAAACTGCAGGATTGTCCTGGGTATACCTACCTCCTAGTCTTGAGTGGCCTCGCTGTATGGGTTTGTGTTTTAAAAAAAAAATGGCAAGGGGGGCAGCCCCAATTGTTAGATATAAAGGCAGATATTAGGATATATGAACCACAATATTGAGTGTTCCGAACCAGTCCTCTGAAAGCCCTTACAATTTTGCCTCCTTTTAGGGCTTTTTTAGGGAAGAGTGAGCACGGAGCAGCGCTTGTGGGAAATCGGCCCTATAGAAACATCACCATTGAAGGTTTTGGGGATTTCTTCCTGTCTCTTTTTAAAATTTCAGATTTTAAACTGCAGAATTGTCCTGGGTATACCTACCTCCTAGTCTTGAGTGGCCTCGCTGTATGGGTTTGTGTTTTAAAAAAAAAATGGCAAGGGGGGCAGCCCCAATTGTTAGATATAAAGGCAGATATTAGGATATATGAACCACAATATTGAGTGTTCCGAACCAGTCCTCTGAAAGCCCTTACAATTTTGCCTCCTTTCAGGGCTTTTTTTTCTGGGGGAACGTGCCAGAATGGAGTTCCGGAACCTCTTCAACAAAATCAACAAAATTCTTTTTAAAGTGTTTAAAAGTTCATGAGTTTTCTGTATCTAGATGGAAAACTTCATTTCCCTCTTGAGAATTTCAGCACCCCTTTTTCAAAAAGGAAAAAAGCCCTGCTTCTTTCCCTCATTAATTTTACATTCTTTCCCATCCTCTTTATCGCCTCTCTAACAGCTCTCAATGACACTGTAGGTTCTGTTAAGCTCAATATTAAATCATTTGCAAATAAAATAGTTATTTCTTCCATACCACATTTTACTCCTCTCACTTCCCTCCACTCCCATATTTCATTTGCTATTGGTTCCATATATTCAATAAATAATACAGCTGATAATTGGCACCCTTTCCCTGTGCCTCCAAATCAATGTATTCCAATAGGTAAATTTCCCATTTTTGCCTCTTACCGTCTGGGGTATCGTTCCCAAAGCTTCAGCAATTTCCATGGCTTTTTTCATCGGAATCTCAGAGACCATGGAGCCCAAAGAAAACACCACAATGCCATGTTCACCAGATGCATTTACTATGGCTTCAAATTCCTACAAAAGTAAATAAATTTTCCAATCAATATTCTTTGTGGCATTCCAATCACATAAATTGGGCAACATTTTAATTTGAAACAACAAGCCTCATCTTCACAGCTACAAGGAAGATAATATTTAGCTTTTCGACTGTTCAGGAAGTGCTTTCTACTGCTAAATAAATAAATTATTCTGGGTAAAAAAATTATTACAGCACTTGTTTGAATGTAAATTAGAGTTGAGTAGCACTATAATACCACACCTGTCTCAAAATCTGATAATGTTTCAGTTAATTGCAGCAATTATAAAAGTTGAACCGTGTAAATCTGACCTCTAATAATAGTATCATTTATTTTATATACTTTGCCACATCTTTATCACCTTGTAAGCATTTACTCTTCAGTAATATGCTGCAGCTCTGTAAAGCTTTAATGTCCTCACTCGGTTTTGTTTTAATACCAGTTAAGTTAGTTTTAATAGAAACCCACAACCGTCAGATTTCCCCAAATCATTAATACTGCTGGGATTTCCTTCAACTCTCAATGGAAAAGTACTGCCAGGAGTCAGACAAGTGGTCCATCCAGCGCACTGTTCTGACTTGGGCCATGATATCACCTGGATGTTTCAGGAAGTCTTAACTACACATACTATTAAAGGTGTCTAGTTGAGTCAATTCTTTGGCATGTTTACCTCCTTGGACTCTGCCATTACACATGAGACACCTAATGGCGGGCCTGTAGCTACTGTGGGGCATTTCGTGGGTTGCTATTACTGCCTCCGTCCAGGGCTGCCACTCCTTTGGGGCCACCTTGCGTTGCTGTCGTGGCGGCTGCCTTCTCCATGGCATCCGCCTCAGCGTTCCCACCGCTGGGTCCCCCCAAGCCGGTGGGCCTCAAGCCATCCAATGCCAGGGCGGTGTTGGCGCTGGGCTCCCCCCTGCAGCAGCTTTCAGCTGTAACTCCACTTGCCCCTGCACCTCTGCCTTGGCCGCCACTGCCTCCTCCTCGGCCGCTAACTACACATACTATTAAAGGAGTCTAGTTGAGTCGATTCTTTGGCATTTTTACCTCCTTGGACTCTGCCATTACACATCAGACACCTAATGGCGGGCCCGTAGCTACTGTGGGGCATATATATATTCTGGGAGCTGCGGTGGCTCAAGTGGTTAAGACGCTGAACTGCAGGCTGTGGAAGGTCGGGAGTTCATCAGTTCGAGACCCGAGTGTGCCGCATGACGGAGTGAGCTCCCGTCTCTAGTTCCAGCTCCTGCCAACCTAGCAGTTCGAAAGCAAGAAATTGCAAGTAGATAAATAGGTACCACTTCAGTGGAAAGGTAACACCGTTCCGTGTGCCTTGGTGTTTAGTCATGCCAGCCAAATGACCACGGAAATGTCTTCGGACAGCGCTGGCTCTTCGGCTTTGAAACGGAGATGAGCACCACAACCCTAGAGTCGGATTCGACTGGCTTTCGAGCAAGGGAACCTTTACCTTTACCTATATATATTCTAATATTTTAAAGTCGCGCCAGCCAGCAAGTGAGTGAGTGGCCAGCTCTCCACCTGCCAGCCAGGCAGGTGAGAGCCCCAAATCAGGCCAGCCAAGGAGCATGGTGAGAAGCCTGCCGATGTGGGGTGGCTGCTGCTATTACTGCCTCCGTCCAGGGCTGCCACTCCTTTGGGGCCACCTTGCATTGCTGTTGTGGCCGCTGCCTTCTCCATGGCATCCGCCTCAGCGTTCCCACCGCTGGGTTCCCCCAAGCCGGTGGGCCTCAAGCCGTCCAATGCCAGGGCGGTGTTGGCGCTGGGCTCCCCCCTGCAGCAGCTTTCAGCTGTAACTCCACTTGCCCCTGCACCTCTGCCTTGGCCGCCACTGCCTCCTCCTCGTCCGCCTCACCGGCCACCAGCCTCCTGGCCAGCCTGCCTCAATTCAGCAGCCTCAGCCCGCTCCTGCTGGTGCTCTACTTCAGCCCCAGCCCCAATGCCGCCGCCATGGGACAATACCCCAAGCCACTGGCTGAGCTGCCCAGCAGGACCCCCATCTTCTGGTCATGCAGAGCCCCCCCCCCCAGGAGACGTGCACCTCGCAGGCTTGCCACGTGAGTACCACCTGCCTGCCTTGGTAATTAACTTTAATTAACTTTAACCTGATCAACTGCCCTCTCAAACATTTAAATGCCCCTGAAGGGAAAAAATCCTGGCTACGGGCCAGCCTAACGGCCCCCTACCTTGTTAGAGCATTCCCTTTAGCTCGCCTTAATGCCATCCAATCTGATGTATAACAGGGCAGATTCTGTCATATTCCATATTCAGATAATCTCTGTCCTGTTTTTTTTTTTTACTGTTTTTAGGAACTCTTGGATCTCACTGCTTTTAACATATTCCTCGTTTAATAAACTTCAAGGGGATAATATTCCCTATCTGTTAGTAGACAGGGGACCCAAACACAACCTACTTGGTTGCTAAATTTCTGTCTAGCATATTTTCCTTTAGTAAATGATGTAATGTTCTTTTAGTCATTGCTCAAGATCGTCTGATCATAGGAGCTCTGAAAAGGAAAGATAAGTAAGCAAAGGAGCGCTTCAAACTCTGTCAAAATATTAGGCATTAAAGGGTTTGGGTTGGTATTAAAGCAGACACCGTGAATCTCTTACCAATTAGTCATATGAATTGTGATCTTGGCCCTGTACAAACATAACATGTAAAACAGTTCCCTGCTGCAATGGGCTTGCAGTGTACAGAATAAAGCCAGAATGGGAAACTAAAAAGCTGTTTGTTTTCTCACTCCGTAAATCTCTTGCACAGGTTCCTTTACACATTACTACTTCTGGACAAAGTTACAGAAGTCAACTGTGTACAGTAGGGATGGGCATGAACCAGCTCACGAACATTTTAAATCTACTCTGTGTAAATTCACTTCTGTCTCTTCATTCTAATATTATGCCAAAGGGCAAAGGCAGTTTACTACTGACTTATTCCAGCCTATTCAGATATTCCCGTCTTACTCTGTTTTAGAGAACAATTTCAAGCAGCACTACATAGAATCTTATTCAGGTCTAGTCCCAGGAAAGTGTTCCTAGGTTTGCACTGATAATCTCACATCTTGTAAACTGAACTGTACAAATATGTAACTTTTAGAGCAATTCCAACCTCAATCAGTGGACTCTTCTTTTCACAGTTTATACCTCCGATAAGGACCATGTTGGGCATGAGAGGCCTGGGGTGCTCAAATGCAAAGTCATAGCGTAGAAGCCAAACAGATGCCTGGCTGTATAGCTCCGACACTGTCACCTCTCGCTGAAGGAATTCTGTGCTGAGAACATGGAATGGTGAATAAAGAAGGTAACAAAATAAGAATTCCAAAGAGGCAGCAAGGAAGTTCTTCACTCGCTGACTGAAGTCCATATGATCTGTGTTGCCGGTGAAGAATCTTGGGACATAAGAAGGTGGATTTGGACACTGAGTTGCCTCTAAACCGCAGGGGAATCCCCGTGAGTAGTAAACAGAAGGGAGGGATAAACGCTCAGCTACTATCTGTCCACAGGGCGACACCGGAACCATAAATACAACATCAAATTGGTTTTCCTCCAGGTAAGCAATCATCTCTTTGTTGTACAAAAGTTCCTTGCAAGTGTTGAGGAAAAGTGTGGAAATAATTCTTGTTCTTGCAATCGTCTCAGTCATTCTTGCCAGGAAAGGCTGCTGTGAAAAAATGTTCTGGCCAATATTTTGGAGTTGTTCTTTCATGTATTCTTCTGTGTAGGACACAGCAAATGTCTTCAGTGTGTAATGTAGAGATGGCTCAATCCTCATGTTCACGTCAGGAGCAACCACTACGATCTCGTGTCCCTTCTGGTGAAGACGTTCCACAACCAGACGCATACTGAGCCAGTGACTGTTATCCAAGGGGATTACCAAAACCTTCCCTCCATCTGAAAGGCTCCAGAAAAGGGAAGTAAGTAACAGCCAGGTGGGCATCTGGCAAATGCCTTGGAGCGGAGGAGCCTTCTTAGCATTTGGACTCTTGTTTAATTCAAAGTTAAATGAGTATAAAAACTTCATCGTGAACACCACACGGAATGTGAGTTGCTCTCCGAGCCGCTCTTTTTACCCTTTATTCTGTAAATGTTTAATTTCCCATGACTTGCTTGTCCAGAAGGGCACAGCTTGGTCAAAGGCTGGCTCTGTCAATATTTCTTGATTTAGACAGTTGACATCAAATTCATTAGTAAAATGTTGATATGCTGAGCGAAAAGAGGACCGGTTCCCCTTCAAGGTACTTTACAGGAAGAATGAACTAAACGAGGGCTTTTTAATCGTTTCTAGTGTTTGCAAATCAAGATCCCTTTGCATGTACAAAGTGTGGAATACCTCTTATCTCAATTCATCCTCACGGCAACCTGAAAGAAGTTTATGATAAGAACCAATGACTTGCACAAGAGGTTACTAAGCCGGTCAAAGGCCACTTAGTACTAATTAGCAAACATATATAGCAGCACATGTATACCTGACCAGTACCCATTACTCAGAATCAGGGGTCATTTCGTAGAAAAAGAGCTAGAGGAACTCATTAGCATAACTCATTAGCATATGCCACACCCCCTGACATCAGGGGCCCGGCGGTGGACCTGCAAGGCCGGCGGGAGTGCGAGGAAGCCCCGCCAAGGCCCTCCCTGGCCCCAGGCAGGCAGGGGTGGGGAGAGGCGGGGAGGAAGCAACTTACCCTCCCTCTTCTCCTGCCTCCTCCTGGCTGAATGAGGGCTGGAAGCGGGGCGGCCGGAAGCAGGGGGCAGGGCTTTGTCATGTGCCCCGCCCCCCTGCACCTCACCCGGGGGAACTGCGTTCCCCCGCGTTCCCCCCCGAAATGACCTCTGCCCCAATTGTATATATGTGCTTGTGCTTATAGTCGTCTGGAGCAAAATATAGAATCATAGAATCATCACAGAGTTGGAAGGTTCCCTACAGACCATCTAGTCCAACCCCCTGCCCAATGCCAGACCAGCCTAAAGCATCTCTGACAAATATTCGTCCAGCCTCTTCTTGAAAGCTGTCAGTGAAGGGGAGCCCACCACCTTCCTAGGCAGCTGCTTCGACCCTTGAACCACTCTGACTGCGAAAAAGGTTTTCCTATCCCAATAGCCACAAAAAAACTAAAATCACAAAAACTTCAATTGAATTGTAAGTATTAAAAAGTGTGCATCAAAATCCACTTGGTTGCATATATCAGTACCTTCCCCTTGTGTTAAAAAAACCCCCTTTTTAATAAAATTGCTGTTACATGCGAGGGTGTCACACACTTACAAGCTTCTTCCCTATGGCCAAGAACAGTTATCAGTAACATAAAATACATGTAAATCAAACACATTTCAGCCATGAAGTTTTCCTTAGCGGTTTCAGTTTTTATAATACACATCATGCAATGAAATCAAATGATGGATTTTGATGCCATTTTTAATATTTACAAGTTGATTAAACGTTTGTGGTCTTAACATAGTTTTAGCTTTTTTGTTATTGACACTGATATTTCCATATTATTTTTTTCAACATTTTTTGTTACCTTCTATGGCATTATACCCTGCTGAGGTCCGCCCCCATGCCAAACCCCACCCTCCCCAGGCTCCACCCCCTAAACCTACAGATATTTCCAAACCCAGAGTTGCCAACCCTACCCACAGTGAAAATAATGCCTTCCTGGCCATATTGGCTCTGGAAAACAACTCTCTTAAACAGTGAATGAGCCCTAAAAAGGTCAGAACAAATAATTTTTTCCCTGGCACATATCTACAGGATATATCTTTTAAAAAATTAAATTGCTCTTCGGATTAATTAAACTGCTAGTGGTTTTAAGGTCAGTAGCCTGGATTAGAAATCCCACTAATTTTACAAGCTAACTCCTTGCACATAATGGAAACTTTTACTCTTAAAATACGGTGGGAACTTCCGGATGATCACGTTGTCCCATGACAGTTTCAGTCATCCTATAAAACTTGATAATGCAAATCTAACCTCATTCACCAATAATTATGTTACATCACAGATGGCCTGGGATCTTCAAGAGTTCTGGGCAATCCACCTTACCAATAGCAGGTGTAAATAATTCTGCATTCAGAGGGCAGCCCTAAGTAGAGCTGAAGTCAATGGGCTTAGCAGAATGTAATGCTACTGACTGCACTGTTGGTAATGTACCTGCATTCAGACGCTAGTGGTGGTTTGTTGCATCAGCCATATTTTATTTATATATTTATATAGTGCTACTGGTAACTAAGACTTAGGGTAGGTAAGATGCTCGTTTCAATTTCTCCCTGGATTATCCTGAGAGAATTGTCATCCTCAATTTACTTTAGGGTTTCCAACTCCAGTTTGGAGATCTGGGGGTGGAGCCTGCAGAAAGCAGGGTTTGGAGAGGGGGAGGGACCCGAGCAAGGCATAAGACTATAGAGTCCAAAGCAGCTATTGTCTCCACAAGAACTGATCTCTGCAGTCTGGAAGTCAATTGTAATTCTGGGAGATCTCCAGGGGGCTGGCACCCCTAACACCGCTTTGAAGTTGGGAAAAGTTGAGGCTGAGAGACAGTGACTTTCCATCCGTGTTCTTGTCTAAGGACGAAACTGACATCTGAATAGGCTTGCCAAGTCCCCCCGGGGGGCGGGGAAACCCCCGCCCCAGAGGCCCGTTCCCCGCCGGCGGTGGATCGGGCCCCGGGGGGAACCCCACCCCGACATGCTCGTTACCCCGAAAGTGAAATGACATCGTCGGGCACGCTGTGGGCGGGGCCACAGTCATCCGAGGGAAAACTCTATGGTTTTCCCTCGGATGGTCGTGGCCCCGCCCCCAGCGTGCCCGGCGTCGTCACATCACTTCCAGGTGATGTGCATGCGGCGAAGCGCGCGCGCACTACAGCCGCCAGCGGGGTATACCCCGCTGGCACTATATTTTGACTTGGCAATCCTACATCTGAATGTGATCTGATAAGTGCTAGAATGTTTCATTCAATAATGGGCATTCCTTTTATTTAATGCCTTGATGAACAGAGAGCTTTATCCCTGAACTTCTAGTCTAGTTCTTCCTCAGTTAATAGATGATGTAGAGCAGAAGTGTTAGACTCATTTGTTACAAGAGCAGATATGACATAAATGTCATTTTGTCGGGCCGGGCCATGTGTGCCATACAACACAAAGCCAAGTACCGGAGATATAAGGGGCACTGGAAAACCCAATTAACAATATTATTTTTACTCAAAATACAAACAAAAGCAATTGATTCCTAGCAGTGAAAGCAGTTGATTTACTGGGGAACCCATGAAAGCCCCAATCAGGGCTGGATTGCCCACTAGGCGAACTAGGCGCTCGCCTAGGGCGCGCGGCCCTCAGGGGTGCCAAACTACACCCCACCACCCTAACCGGGCGATCGCTGCTGCTATGGCGGCTGGCAAGCGTGCAGAGGCGAGAAGCGCTGGGGGGTTCCACCCTCCGGCCCCACGGCAGCTGAGCCCCCCCTCCCGGATAGAGAGATAAGAAAGGCTCTGCCCGCCCGTCCCTCTCTCGCGCTCTCTCCCTGCGGCAAGGGAGGGAAGCAGGGGAGGGAGGGAGGAAGGCAGCACGGAGGCAGAGGGCGCCATGGGGTGCGGGGGGCTCTTCTTCCTTCTCCTCGGCACAGCTCAGCGCAGCCCCAGCAGCGGCGCCAGGCGTGGAAGCTGCTGTGGCAGCCACCCAGTGTGGGCTGGCAACTTGGGGGCCAGCATGCTGCACCCAGCTGGGAGGCTACCCACCCCCCCACCCGGCGGAGTGTGCAGAAGGATGGGGGGGCGCTCCAGCGGGCCAGCTGCCCTGGCGTGGCGCGAAGCTGCTGCTACTGCCCCCTCCTCCTCTACTGCCATGGCCCGTCCGCAGCACCATGGCCCCAGCAGCCAGCCGGCCGGCTGGACTCCACTCTGGAGTGTCCGATTCCACTCGGCTCCACTCAGCAGCAGCAGCCGGTCCCGCCGGAGCTCCAGAGACGCTGCCGCCTCCACTGTGATGGCTCCCCGCACATGGTGGCTGGGTGCGTGATCCCCGACCAACCGATCAACCACCTGGCTGGTCAGCCAGCCGTGCCGCTGCCCGGGCAGCTCTGCCCCTCTGTGCCACCAGGCCCTGCCCCCAAGCCAGACCCACGACGCAGCTCACCCGCCCTCCCCCTCCCCCCTGGGGGGAGGAGGTGGCATCAAAAGGGTCTCCAGGCCCCCCCGGGAGGTTGGAATCTGCGCCTGCCTAGGGCGCAGAAGCACCTCGAGCCGGCCCTGGCCCCAATAAATAATCTTATGCAAGGCTAGGTTTTCCGCAAGGGATACCATGAAAGTGGGAGTACCTGACATTTCCATACATACCAATTGCTTGCGGGCCGGTTAAGTGCCCCAGATGGGCCAGTTCCGGCCCCCGAGCCTTATATTTGACACCCTGATGTACAGTTCTCATTCACTAGCTTCTTCATTTGTGGCATCCTGAAAAGATGTGGTTTAAACCTACTACAGACATTTTAGGATACAAGGAAGTCTAAACTACTGGAGGGCACAGTAGTGTTAGTTTTCCCCATGCCAGAATCTTAATTTTACTCATGTCTACTCCCAGGGGAGTGTTCCTAGGTTTACACTGATAATTGCACATCTTGTAAATTGAACTGTACTTATATGTAACTTTTAGAGCAATTCCAACCTCAGTCAGCGGACTCTTCTTTTCACAGTTTATACCTCCGATAAGGACCATGTTGGGCATGAGAGGCCTGGGATAATCAAATGCAAAGTCCAAGCGCAGAAGCCAAACGGATGCCTGGCTGTATAACTCACGGGCCGTCACCTCTCGCTGAAGGAACTCTGTGCCGAGAACACTGAAAGGTGAATGAAGGAGAGAACAAATCAGGAATTGCGAAGAGCTGACGAGAAAGTTCTTCACTCGCTGACTGAAGTCCATATGATCTGTGTTGCTGGTGAGGAATCCTGGGAC